AAATTGATCTATATTAATTAATAATAACCTAACTACATGTTTTGTAAATTAATATTCTAAGGATATATGCTATTCTAATTTCAAAGTTTTGGTTTTAATATTAATATAGTTAAATCAGCTGCATCCAATATCCTCAAACAACTGACAGCCAAGATTTAAATATTTAATGTTTTATTTAAATTACTGAGTGGAAATGACTTAACAGAGTTTTAAGAATGTTCGAAGAGTCATAAAGAGATTAAGGATGCCTACAACTGCAAAATGGTGGGTGATGACACTTAATTCATTGGAATATGTACATWACACTTAAATTTGAGAATACTGATAAATCGACAAAAATTGTAAATAATTGATTATACATTGMACAGGGTGGGGCAGTGAAATGGGTACCTAATTATCTTGTTTATTTAGATATGAGAATCTTCTGTTTCACTGCCCCACCCTGTACATGGTTAGGTTAGATATAATCATAAATTGAAATATATCAATTTTTTTAGTATTTTAATTTTTTAAAAGCTTATAATTTACTATCATATCTAAAATCCTTGTGAAATGCCATGGATAACGTTACATTTGTAGAATGTCTGCTTTTTAAATATAATATATTGTAATTTACAGATGAGRAATCAAAAACAAACAAGTTAGAAAATCTCATTTTGCTAGCATGTTAAATTTTCGGTTTCTAAACATATCTAATACAACACAATAAATTAAAATGCCATATATTATATTTGTACAGTAACTATGGACAATACATAAAATATTAAATGCCTTTAAATATCGWTCATTGAAACTATGTACTGTCAACTAGTAGACAGACAACTATAASGCGTTTAAGAAGCGCTCTAAATCCTATGGTCTTGATATTCTTGACATAAGAGTTAAACCTAATGTCGGGTTTACAGGCATCTTCCACATTGAGTTTTTTGTATTGTATTTTAATTGGCTTCTGTTATCATGGTATTATTAACCATGATCTCTATGTCATTTTCGAGTATTTTTGAATGTGACATCGTTTTGTCGATGTTCAGCAGTTATGGGTCATTATTCTTCATGCATGGGATTCAATTACTACACAAATTAAATTCCATATTTTTTTTTTATCAAATTCCAATATAATATATAGTATATATACATATATTTATAATGATTTGATTTGTGCACATCTAATGGCGAATAAAGTTGTATAAGGAAATCCAAGTTAAACAAAACTWTGTACATCATTTTTTAAATGTTTAAACGTAGTAATGAATAATATATATTAACAAACAAATTTCTAATGACGTAAAAATTGTATATAAAACAATAAAACCATAATAAATAATCATAAAATATATTATTATGTTTATATAACTCGATAGAAAAAAAAAATGATAATTTATAGGATAAATAAAATCCTAATAATATATAATTTTTAGGACAAAATAATTTGATGTAATTAAGAAGTCCTAATAATTAATAATATTCAAACAAAAATGACTTATTATAATGACATTTTTATCATTTCTGCTTGAAAATAGTTGAGTAATGACTATTATACTAAAATATGCAAAAGGTTAAATGTTGTTTTCAGCTGCGTTATATACATTATCCATCACAATATAACAATGTATATCCTGAAGTAATATTATTAAGTGTTAAATAGAATATATATTGAGAATGCATGATTTGTTAGTTTAAAATCTGATGTTAGATGCTATGACATTGGAAACGGCACCACTAGAAATGACACCGGAACGGAATTCTTCTTGTGCTTTAGCAAAACTGGCGCCAGAGCTACGATAAATTCTATGGATCTAAAAAAAAATTAAAATCATATATCAATAATAGTGTAATGATTAATGAGTATGATAGGGATTAAAATTTATTATCTTTTACTTTTGTCAACAAAAGGAAGTCCATAGTTGCGCCAAGAGAAAAAGCAATTCCCATTAATAACACCARAGTACCTAAAAATGGATGAGAGTCCTCATAAAGTCTGACGGCCATAAACAATCCACTGTAAAATAACATATAGTTATATTTAAATGTTACGATAATATAAATATTTACATAACATAAACAATTACCAATAACCCGATTCATAAGTACCCAATGCTTGAACAACTGCTATAACAAACTGGATACAGAACACAAAAAAGTATAGCATGAAGTTGAAAGAACTGTCATCTCTACAAGTAAAAAAAAAATTTTAAATAAAAAAAAAATAAAACAATAAGGATTTTATAGTACTTACCGAAAAGCTTTATATCCTGGACGAAACCAAAATAAAAATGAAAGTGGCACTAAAATTCCGGCGTACACAATTGAAAAAATAAATGTAGCTATCGCTCCAGTTAAGAAAAGTAATAAGATACCAATCAATACATTGCATGCTAGCAGACCAGTATGATCTGTTAAGTAATAAACATTTGTCATTAATTCAAATTGTTTAACAGTATACCGATTTTAAAGTAACTTACACAACCATAGATAATATAGTTGCCTGACTACATGTTGAAAATCTGGGGGAATTTCTACACTTATATCCAAATAAAAACATGGTTGATAGCAAAACCCTTTAGGTAATGGAGGCCAATTGTTTTGACGAACTAGAACAATTCATAAAAATGGTATTCATTAATTTTTATACAAACATTTAGAGTATAAATTTTGTTACCATTTATTGAAGCATTACGTAATTCCTCTTCTCTTTTATCTAATTCAGCTTGTCTTCGATCAAGTTCAGCTTTTCTAGCCTAATTRAGTAACAATATACATAAATAAAAAATGTTATAAAACAATTAATAAATAGACAAAATGAATACCAATAAATCAGCTGAGACATCGCCTGAAGTTCTTCCATAGGTAGGAGCAACTTGTGGAGTAACTGGATATTCTTGTGTAGGTGACATAACAGCTGGCATAGAATTAAGTGGTGGATTGGCTGCTCCTCTCACAGGGGGTTTCTGTAATAAAATATACATGTAGGAAATGAAGTCTTACTAAGTTACCTTTTAAGGCTTTAATAAACACTTAAAATTTTACTACAAGTATAAAGATTTAAAAATATTATTAAAACTAATATTTGAAACAAATTACAAAAACACAAAACAACTTAAACTAAAAAATAATGACAACTAAGGCAACATTTTTAGTAATAATAAAGTACAATAGTTATAATTTTACCGCATTGTTAACAACATTTTGATCCTTTCCAAATGGATTGAAGTCTTCAATTAAAGACTGTACTTTATTATTTGTTAGTTCTTTGACTGATGGATCCTAAAAAAAATAATTATAACACATTTTTTCCTTATACTATAAAATATACTAGTAAATCTACATTTTTGTACATTTTCTAGTTTTCTACTAAAATTAATCTATAACATTTACAACAGTTAATTAATATTAAGAATAACAAAATTCACTTTATATTATTTTAAGCACACATGCCTAATGCATTTAAATAATCCAAGTTGTAAGTGTATGCATTATTATATCTGTTAAATTAATAAGAAATAAAGAATAAGTTAACAAGTCTTAGTACTAATTTTCCATAGTTAGTTTTAAAACATGTAATATTTGAATCTCGAAAACATATGTGATGGACTCCAAGTTCAAATRCATATATATGAACAATAGACAAATAATATTTAAAATTAATAATATATAATAAAATTGTTACATTGTTGTATTTTTAGAGTCGTCTATACAAATAATATTGTATTCAGATAAACAAATAATTTGGCTACACTAAAATAGGGGCTAGGTACAATTTTCTTTTTTACACCTGATATCTGAATAAAAATATTTGAAAAATTACCTGAAAAGGATGACCCACGGAAGGGGTGGGATCACCAAAAGGATTTTCATCTGGTTCAGCCATCGTTAATGGTTATGTAATGTGTAAAAATGCTACGAGAGCGACACGATCTTGTTATATTTCCGTCACTGTTAAAACAGCGGATGCAACCAAAATTGAATTCACTTTGAGGATAACATAGCAAAAACGACAAGCCTAAACTCTTTAAAACAATAGATTCGTTAACGGAAGCGTGTTTAAATCATACAAAATTTCTGTCACTGGCCAAACGCCAA